GGGTTGGAAACGCGCGTTTTCGTCGTCATAGATTGTTTTCCGTGTCTCACGGAAAATTGATAAATTATGAAAAAAATTCAATGTCTCCTAAAATTTCTACATCAACTTGTTTTGCTATACAATAGTAAACGTAATTTCTATTATCGAATAACATTATATCAGCGCGTATATCGTGCATCCATTACAATTATACATCGTTCAACATTCGCAGCAAGACTCGGTAGAAATCACGAGCGAGTTTCGATTATGGATACGTATATATAAATCGACTTCTCTTTTTTTTCGAGTAGCGATTTTTTGCATCGTCGCCGCGCGAGACTACCGTATTCGGGCGAGGCGTATTCAGTTTCTCTGTTCGGTTACCGTCACCCGTTGAGCGATAAACGGCGACTTTAGTTCGGACAATGACGTTCAATGTAGCGTGACGGGATGATACGTTGCGGGTGCCCGATCTCCCGCCGGGAAGCTCCTATGGTTGCTGAACATGGGGACCGCACATCATTACCCACCGTTGTTGACACTAGCTTATAAACGTCGTCATTCGAGCTCGGGGATGTGTGACGGACAGTCAACACTGTGGTGCGACGTCACGACTGAAAGCCAACACTCGATAGGGGTTGGGTACACCCTCTCCTCCCTCCAGCGACTTTGCTTTAATTCGTTAACGAACAACATTATTAGCTTTACTCTTGACTGATAAACGATAAAAAACACGACGAATCCTATATAATAATCTACACAAAAGAGGTAGAAAAATCGGTGTCTTTGCAAAAACAGAAAACGTGTAGAAATTGGTTAACGCTTCTCGATATTTTTTTTATACGCGTATTTTATTGTTATTCCTCTAGACTAAAGATTGGACAGATAACAAGGAGCTGGTGGAATCTAAACAAGATACAAGAATGTGAAAACTCGCGGAACTGCACAAGCGCAGTCGTCCGGGCGCTTACGGGGTGGAATATAAGCTCCGATAAATCCGGCTGCGCAGTTAAAAATTGATATAGTAGTTTCGGAAGTGCACGGGGCCGGCGGTTAAGTCACGTATGTAGTCAACGGTAAACGGAAGCCCATATCAATAAGTATCGGTTGTGTGTGCATCGGGATCCGTACGCGAGCGAGCGAGCGAACGGGAGAGAAAACGAGAGGGATGAAATAGGGGGAGGGAAAGAGGGTGGGAGGTTATATAGAGAGCAGCTAGTCGATGGGATGGCGGTTCCAAGGCCGGGGGTAAAATAATGGGGGCGGACGCTCGACTCGAAACATTGATGTTGCTCGGCGCGCTTACAAACACACCGACACCAATCGAGCATGGCTCTTCCTACACAAAACCGATGTAGGGGGACTCCGCTGGCCGGTTGGCTTTGCAGGGAGAGCGAGAGAGGTAGAAAAGAGTAGCGCGGAATATCAGGAGAGGCGCGGAGAAGGGAAGGACGTGGAAGAGAGGATGAGAGGGAAATACGCATATATACCCTTGTACAGCGTTCTATGCCATCGATGCGGCTCGTGTTTAACGCCCTTATAAATGTGTAATGCGTATACTTGAAAGCGGGAACGGTCGGAGCGCGAGGACGGGGGATCGGGCGTAGGACGTACCCGCAACTCGCCGGGGTGGGCCCTCTGCGTATCGATAAACGATCAATCAACTGGTACACCTATGGACGAGGCCATCGAGGGTAAAAGAGGCGGCGGTGGTAACGGCGGGAAGGTAGAGAGATGGCCGGAGGTGAAGGAGGAGGAAGTGGAAACGACGTAGGGGTAGGAAGCACAAGGGATGAGAGAAACGGTACGATGGTGGGTGAAGATGGGTATGTGAGAGGATGGAAGGGGTTGAACGGAAACAGCGGCAGTAGGGGCGAAAGACAGAGGAGGAGGGCGGCGGCTCGCAGAGTATCGACCCATCGCGGAGGAGAAGGCAGCCAGGGTCGACGTCGCCGGGTTTTGTTGATGTAGGTGTGTACACGCTCCGCGTATCTGTCTATCCAGATATCTCTGCGCGCGAAGACGCTACGCTAGGGAGAGAGAGAGAGAGAGAGACTCAATCTCGCTGTTGCATCGCCGAATCGTTTCCACGCTTTAATTCCGTCGAGGCGTACTACGCCGGAATGTTTCGCAATTTCTCGAACATGGATGCTATTCAATCTTCGGGATTTACTACTTGTCTAACGTATAACTGCAACTAGATACGGCGTTTACATGATTTTATTTCAATCTCCTAGATATGCCCGCACAAGTATACAAGCCATTAACAGGAATGTGCGTAAATGTAAGATTTACACAGCTCCGTTAAGTCGTTAATGTCTCTTTAACTTGAAATTATCTTTATTTTATGGACTTTCACGTTCGCTACCGCGGATGCTCTTCAAGTCTGCGTACATCCCGGGCAACGAACTCAACGTCTCTCGGTGCTTCTTCCCCCGGCGCGTGTTCCGCCTCATCCTCCAAATGCGCACGCAAGACACGACAGGGAGATGATTAGAGAGAAAGTACGCGGTCATGGAAGTAACCGAGTCGAATTATCTGCGACATGCTCGGTGTATATTCTAAAGGACATATCGCGCATCACTCATATGCACCGTTAAACGCGTTAACGATCCCAAAAGCTGCTGCCTCCCTACGCCTCGTATTCCGCGACGTCTTCGACGTTGTGTCATTGTGTCGTAACCGACGTGTTCAGCCGAGGTTTCAATGACGTGCACGCCACTTGACGCGCACAGAGGGGGAACAATGTACAACCACCGCGAGCGTAGCTACGTGGGATCTGCCCATTGTGGGGTCAGGTGGATATCGTCGGTCGGTGGAGAGCTCGTTGGCTGGTTCCACGGGGTGTGGCCATATAACCATAGCCGTTTTCTCTCGCTCTCGCCGACCGAGCATCGCTGATAACAATAGCGAGCTCTCTCTCTTACTCGTTCGTACTATCCTGACAGTCCCCCTTTCTACCCGGTGCGCGCGCGGCGGTAGGGATACGCCGGTGCGTGTACGCCACCGCTTGGTAGCTACCAAGCAGGCGCATCGTCGGCCTATTACAATGGCCAGCCCTCCTAAACGTTTCATTGTCATCGGCCCGTTCCCTCTGCCCATGCGTCGATGCGCACAAACCATTGTTTCTCGTTGAATGGGCGGCTCGCCGTCGTCGGATAACGTCGCCTCGTTTCCACGGTGAGATTGCAAGCGAGGCGTGAGTTTCTGCACGGTCGACGGCCCATTACCAGTCCGATAGCGTATATTAATTAGCTTTATCTAACGGCCCCGCAATCCCACTTCTCTCTTTTCTCTTCTTAGAAGAGTGTCATTGACACGATAGATCCGATAGCCCGATTTATCGATTAATTCCATTAATTCCACCGTGCACAAATTGTCGATCGTATATCTAATGTAGTGGTAATGTAGCTTGTCGTTAAGTTTGTGAATAATTAAGCTATCATTCTTTCATGATATATATATATATATGTGTGTACGTGGCGCGTATTTTCGTGTCTCTTGAAAAAATAATTAATGTATATTTACTGCACGCTTTGCGTGTCCGCGATTTCCACGCTTTGTTTTGCCTTTACTACGACGATACGACAGGATTTATTCCCCTCTTTTGCGGTAGTTTATGCCGCTTTTTGCAAACGCAGGATAATCAGAATACATATTCGTCGCATTTAATAACAGAGAAGCGAGATATATCATCGCGGTTACTACACAAACTTGTTATCGTGCTACGTACCGTAGCTAGATCTAATAATAAATTCCGATGAAAATTCTCTTTTTTTTACACCTACATACATACCAATGATTTACGCGTTCCATCCAACTTTTCCGGCTTAGACATTCTTCGTCCGATGAAAGAACAAGTCCGTCCTGGAACGGCAAAAAACAATTATCGTGAAAACTGCATTCGTTAATAACAGATAACGTATCGTTGCATCGCGTCATGGAGATATTCAGGTAGAACCGGTCGGACTAACTCGATACGCGAATCTCTCAGATAAGCATGCATCGTCAAGTAAATCAGACCTTCTCTCGTTACACGCCTATTCTTAAATGCAATATCCCAGGACATCGACTACAATCAACTACGGATCCCAGAGCCCGATAAGTATTAATAGCGTGAGCTAGTTGCACATCGATGCACAACTACAAAGCGATGGAAAATGTCCTCCCGTTTCTCGTTTTATTAACGTTAAGTGCTCCGCTTGCCGATTCATAACTCGATACAATTTGTATACGCGCGATGCATTTCGAATGGACTTGACTTTTCACGCCCGCAAAACAACGAGCCCAAGTTCCGATCGCGACGCTAAACTGTAATTATCACGAATTCATCTTAAGAGAAGTGATCACGTATTCTCTTCTTGCTACATGATATTACCGATGATCTACAGTACATTGAAAATTGTAGTCTTCCGCGGAGCACGATCGAGATCGTCTTGATCCACGTCCAGGGTAATAAATCTGCCCTAATGTTGGGTTACGAGAAACAGTTATCGGAGTCTTGAAATTTATCGGTTCTTTAACAATTTTCCGCTATTATCGTCAACGATCATTAACAATTCTTTTAATACTAACAACGGCAGTCCTTATAACCTGGCATTAGTGCGCTACAGTAAGTTTAGAACACATTATACCTGTTAAACAACTACGGATAAGGCACGAATTTCGAACGCATTGTGTTTCAAAGTATGATCTCATCGATAAATCCGCTACCCTAATACTACGTTGCAAAGGTAAATAATCGGGATCTTTTTATCGTTTGGATCAATTGTTTCAATAGTAGGTTCCGCATTCAATTATAATATAATTATAAAGATCATAAAGCAATTTTCAACAATATTTGCTCCTCGTATAGCGCGCGATTAGATAAATATTGCTACTTATTTGAGAATTATCGATATTAAAGACAATATATGACGCAATAATTTTATGCTGCAACGATAAAATTGTTTACCATCTTCAAAAAGTACGTCTCATAGAAATAATATTTTCGCGAGTAAAATAATTATGCAAAAATATATTTACTGTGTATCGAGTATCGTCGTCCTTTCGTGTCTCTTGATAGCTATTTTTTTGATTTCTTCCCACAGCATAGGATACGGATGAATCGTTCTGGCCAAATCAGCGCGATCCAAACGATACAACTCGCATATTTCGATGGCGACGACATTGGCCACTCTTCGCGCGTCCGGCATAACTAGCGCGATTTCCCCAAAGTACGCGCCGTCCTCCAAGTGACATATCTCCTTCCCGGTGCTTGTGTAAATCGCGACGGTGCCGCTAGCGATAAAATACATGCAATCACCCAGTTGATTGACCCGTACAATCACGTCGTTTGTCAGAAATATCTCAGATTTGAGTAAAGCGACGATGCGCGTCAGTAAAGAAAGCGGTAAATTCTTGAAGAACGTAACGTTCTCCACGAGCTTGCGACAGGCGTGCATACTGATCTCTTGGCGCATATAGGTGGACAGGGTATTAAGGATCTCGATTTCGCGGAAGTAGCGTTGTTGAAAGCAAAACTCATAATAGGCTATGATACGATGTTGAGTCGAATGTGGTAGCTGCCGATGCTTCATATATCGTTTGAGCTGTGCTATGATGTCTTGATACTTGATCTTAGAGCTGTTGGCGGTCTTAAAAAGTTGCCTCACACGAACTATCAGGATCCAGATAGTTAGACTTCCCAAGATTTGTAGGATGATCACTACCGTGAGATCCGCCTCGTTTTTCGGCTTTTCGTGTAGGAAACCCGATGAGAGAAAGACGCTAATGGCGCGTAAGAAACTGGATAGATATTGTCGAGATTTAGATTTCTCCCAAAGATCAAACTCGTGTAGCCAGGAATCGTCGCTGGGACGCTCCGGTGAATACATAGAAGTCGTAGCTATTGGCACCAGCCAATAAAAGCAAGTCTGCCATTGAAACGCTATCAGCAGCCAAAATATCATGATGCAGACCTCGTAGAGGGCCACTGGAGCATTATACTCGTGAGCGATCTTATTCATGTAAGAAACGAGAGAAAAAACGCGAAATCCGCAGATTAAAGACATCAACTCGCGTGTAACTGCATACTCTTGCCACGACATAACGAATGCGATATCAGTTGGAAAAGAGCCCAGCAAGTCCAAAAAAAGCAGGCCGCGTTTCATGTATCTCTTCATTATCATTCTCGGCTCCATCACAACAACGTGATGCATTGTGTCGTAATATCTGTCCAATAAAGAATACAATTTTTAACTTGTGAAGAAAATGCGATATACGTAAGATTGAATTCATCACTTATATTTTAAATTATATTTACCCTGTTATAAAATTAACATTTATGTCCAAGCAACAGAGAAAAAGCAGAAAATTCTTAAAAATTGTCCAGTTATATAAACGATTGTCTATTTCGAATGCAGCGTGATATGGAGCAACCAGTAGTAAACACGTTATCGTTATAATCATTAAGACATCCCAGCAAAGTCTATATTACGAAATTTTTGATTTAGTTTATTCAAGAGAACATATTATGTTTTATATACATATATTTTATACATAAATTATGATAAATTATTGTTAACAAAATATAATACAGAAAAATACCTAAACATACTGAAGGGATGGAGAATGTATCTGTAATTACGCAAATGCCGTCGTTTTTCCGAAAATATCGAAGCACGACTGCGTAAATATTTGCGGGCACCTGGAGTTTTGTCTGATGCCATTAGTGAATGGCGCAAAGTATTTCGCATTTTTTGAAAGATATTGTGATCGGGAAGAAAAAGTGCATCTTCATGTTTACCTTCGAGCTCACATTCATGCTCCACACGAAGCATCGTGGAATTTTACGTATTGACAGATTAGAAGCAATGCAGAAAAAATTTGGATTTTATTAAATCTACATTTCTAATTATAGAAATGTCATTATAATTACGCGTGACAAGCGTGCATCGTTTGCAACGGCGGCATCTCTTTGAATGCAGGAGAAGTCCAAGCTTTCATGCTGGATTCACGAAGAACGCAGTCGGTATACAGTTTCATGCTGGTGGATGATCAAACTCGTTCTGGTTTCTCTTAGTCTCTCGTCCGATATAATATCGACCATGTACGTGATATTAAAATGGAGAAAGATGTTCGTTTTAATCTGTGAGCGGTAAGATGGTCCATACTTAAATAATTTCTGTTGAAACAGAGATGCAACGTAACAGTATGCTGGTAACGTTTGATTGATTTTTTCATTTGTCCTTGTTGTGTAGCTTCTTGCCTTATGAGGACAGCACTTTATTTCTAATTAAATGTGTTGACAATGGAAAATGTTTTAAAATGTCCACAAATACACATCATAATTTTAATTAATATTTATATTTAATTCAATTTTTTTAAGCATTGATGTAAATATGCAAATTACGTCAATTTTTTAAACACGTAGATATATAAGCATTTAAATATATAAAATTTTCAATATTTCTTCAAGTTATATTTAACTAAAATATTTGAAATACAAGATTTATATAATTTTCGTTTATTTATAATTTAAACTTAACTGGATTTAATTAAAGTTAACTAGATTTGAGAAATTAAATTGATTCAGACATTTAAATGTAAATTATTGAGAGAAATGTGAAATTTTACACTTGTAATTCGTACGAACGCGTTTATTAATTTGCGTGTCTATTTCGAAATTAATATCATCCAAAATACAAAATGCATCATATTTTTTTTATACGTTCTACTTCATGGAGACGTGAATAATTGCCAGTGTGATTTGCGAGTCGTGTACATCACAACATAAATTTTGATGCGGTCAGTTTATTTTTAGTGCAACTGACAGGTTGGTTTCCGCGAGATATAAAAATATCGAACTGACTATGCGTACGCGAAGAAACGTTTTTTTTCCCGGCAAATTACAAATGAACAATACACATGACAGTATATTCTGTAACGCTATTATATATGGCAAAACAGAGTATATGGATGGATATCAACAATTGTTTTTATCGTATTGAGTTTTCCGTCGTATGTGTCCATCGATCCTTCCACAAGCCCGGATTATCATGGTAAAGTATCTACCAAAACGGAGATCGCGGATCGCTTTCGCAGGATGGATGATCTGTTCACGGTACATTTAAGTAACGCTTTATACAAGTCGGCTTTATGAGGGCTCAGACCTTCGTTGCGTGCACCGCATATAAAGACAACCTTCCGGTATATATTTCATGCGTTGAATTCTCGATGTAACGACGAGATTTTATGGACGATTTTATTCCCTTTCTATATATACACGAATAAATGTATATATCCACGAACAAACAGCCATAACCGTGCTTATTCGAGTGAGCAAAAACGATACAAGTACTCTTGTCTCGCATAGAGAAAATATTTAACATTTTTATCTTTGTGTGCCGATTTGCGCGTGATATCGCAAACAATCACTGTCGCAAGACAAAATACGAAAGAACTTGCTCAAGCATTTCGGGCGCGGCGTTCCTTACGCAGATATCGTTGCCGCGGAACTAAAGAAGTATCACAGGAAACATTTTATCCTGTACTCCCGGAAAATCTACCGGTTAAGCGGTGTACGCAATTTAAAGTCGCTACTTCTGTCCGTCCCGGGGGAATTAAGGGTCAGACACGGAGGCAAGTATATCGCCAGGAAGTCGGGTTCTCCGCAGCTTTTTTCCCTCCTATCCTGGTAATAAATTTTCAAGTCGTCCAGCGATGTCCTGTGGAACTCAGGAACGATGTTATAGACGGTGCTCGAGAACAAGAAGGGTGGTTACTCAGGATACGTTCACAACCCTCCGCACATACTAACGTGGATTTACCGTGGCCCATCCTCCACATAACGACGAGTGACTGCGGAAGAGTCTATATACGCGTTCCTGGGGTAGAAAGTTATGGATACTCTCATTGCTGTATCAATATCTCGTTAGGAGCTACGACAGAAATAAAAGCGAAATGTCCATTTTTCTTTTCAGGACTGAGGCCAGCGAAATTGTGATGCATTCATTCTGTATAAATGCCAATTCGCTTCTGCAAGCTCGAAATAATAGAAATAGCGAAGAGTACTAGAAATTAAACGTTTGATATGTTATAAAAATGTGCTTCATTAATTGCATTGCAAAATTACTGTAGTAACTATGCAATCGGGGAATGATGAAAACGTTTAAATCGTTAAATAGGATTTCTAATGCATATGCTAGTTACTAATTGATAACTATTTACGTTTCGTCGCTCATTAGAGGGAAAGGTTTATCATTCCAAGTGTGCATGACGGGCTTTGATACGCGGCATTATAATTGCATCGAAATTTGATTGAAATTTATGGAAATTGTGAAATAGAGATTTATAGGCGTATTATCCTATACTCTTAGTAATCCGAATTATATTTATCTAGAATCTACTGATATATTATTATTCCAGCACATGTATATATCGCATTTCGGTCTGATACTGATATCGAGGTTGCACAGATCACTGCGCTTGGTCATTAACCTCCAATAACGAGAGAACCATGACCATGATTGAAATTTAGTTATTTAAATAGCATTGCCGATACTTTGTGTGATACAAATACAATAGACAAATCGCTTTTTTGTCTTATACTTAATGGATGGAATAACGGATTACATTCGATATAAAGATATGTGAGACAGATATGTGTGACCCTGTGGAATAAATGCGAGATAGATATGTGTGACCCTGTGGAATAAATGGAAAATATGACGTAAAAGATTAAGTAATGTAAAAATGTGATACGTTACATAATATACACATATAAATATATTGTTGCAATATTTTTTTTTTTTTTACATATGTCAACTCACATAAGTAATTTTCTTTTTATTAACGCTCTGGCAGACCATGTTTCAAACGCAATTGTCAGGGCCGTGATGTTCCTTTTATATTTACGACATAAGGGCGCGAACGAAGGTAATTCTTGCTTCCGCCGCAATGATCAATAAACCATCCCGTCCACGCTACTGAACGACGCTTTATACTTCGATGGATGTAACGCCGAGGAAAGAGGCGGCAACTGGTGGTCGTAAGTACTTACGTACGTGTGGGTTCACCGCGTATACACGCAGTGAGCTGCCAACGATATAGTCAGCGAGACGAAAACACTCGCCTGCAAGGTCTAGTACTGGCGTAAATATACCAAATGGTAAGAGAGGAAGAGAGCGAGCGAGAGAGAAAGAGAGAGAGAGAGATGTGTAGCTGCAGTTCCAAAAGCCATCGCTATCGGTCGCTTATGGAAACACAGCTCCGTAAATATTTTCGAGCACTTTGGTTTTTGCGCAATGGCTACGATCGAACGGCGTTCTATATTTTTACACGAATGTGGAGCATTTTTCAATTACACATTTTAATATTTTAAATATGCATTGAAAAAGTAAAGCAACTATAGTATGAATAATGTAACAATGAATCAAACAAAAGAGTGAAACTTTAATAATTATATGAAAACATACGCGATTGTGTGCATTGCGCGGCTACACAAAATGGAGTAAAAATTCTAATCTAAAGAGAACATGCATATATTTAAACATATATATACATATATTATTACATATATTATTTAAATGAGTCTTGTTAAAAAATTTATGTTTTGCATTGGCTTTATATGCACATTCAATGCCAATTGCACGAAACAATTTTCAATCTAATTCAACAATTCCCAAATGCTATTTTTATTTTACATTCTCGTAAAAGTACATGAGCGATTATGATCGCGAAAGAACACACATCTTTCCCGAAATATTTCATTCAACGTTGCGATCATTCTTTCAATGCAGTATAATATCTTGCGTTGCGGAGATAAAGTTACTGGATCCATAACGGGGTCTCGCGTTATTATGGACCGGCAAAGAGAGAAGAGGCAACTGGTGGCCGTAAGTATACTTACACTCGCTTTCGCGTATTTCTCCGCGCGCATCGTGCGCACATACGCGTCGCATCCGCGGCGAATTACCGCGGTGATATAGTTTGCAGCCGAAACACAACCGTTTCTACTGTCTAGCAGTTGGCGTTTGGCCAGGTTCCATTTCCCGGTGCCGATGCGCCTCTTCTCGTCCGTTATACGAGGATTAGTTAGAGTACACTGCGCTCTCTCTCCTCTGTACACATGTAATTACCGGTTAGTTCTTCCCATCCTCTTCCCTCCATCGCATCATCCCGTCTCGCTTTCAGCGCAATTTCATCCCCCTCATTTTATTCACCGACATTTTGCGTATTCCGCTCTTTATCGTCCGACCGGACCTGCGTGCGGACGCGCCTCCGCATGGCATTTGCATCCCGTTAAACGTCGTAAACTTGTCAAAGTGCAGGCCGTTATGTGCAGGATCGTGAACCGTACCACAGCCGCCGTGGGCAATGTTTGCGGTATCCTCCAGCGGGTGCCTGAAAGACAAAGCACCAGGGAGCGGCGTGGCTGGACGAGAGAACGGGTGGGTATATCTGCGCCGCGCCATTATTCCGAACGAATCGACGGACTTGAGTGCACTTAACGGGGATTAACGTTTTTATATCTCTATCTCGGGGTCCGAAAGCGATATGCTAATGAGTTGATAATACCTGAAATTTGGCTAACGAGGTCCGCTGTATTTCACTGTCGCAGCGACAAACAGACGTACTGCGACGATTCTTGCGCATCTTAATTCAAACGGAAATCGCCGAACGTTGGAGTGCACTTAAGGTAGATTAAGACCTCGGCTGTAAGAAGATAAGTGTATGTCGATGTATCATCGACGTTGCAATCAAAGCTGTAAAAACGAAGACGATGCTGTTAAATATCTTGGATGATTTAATGCGTGATATTGAATATTTTTTCTTTATG